GGGAAAGAGCATGCAAAGTGGCCAGACTGACCTGTAGTGAACCAAGTCTGCAAAAACAGGTTGTGTCTACAAAGCCAGTTTTAACTTTTTCTCAAATTACATTTAATTGAACTATTTATCCTGTTGATTTTGCATGAAGATATGAAGTCATTAAAGAAAGACACAAGACAATTTAATTTTCTGTAAAATACAGTGCCAAGGTTTTTATTGATTTGGAAAGAAAGACAAGTAATAATTAAGTCAGTGGCAAAATACATCACTGTCTGGTCCAGACACACAAAAGACATGGGATCTTTTCAGATGCGACATTTTATGCAGACTTAATCCTGAAAATATTCAGCAGAATCAAAAGAGGGAAGGAAAGCGAGGCAGCAAGGAAAGGAGTTGTTTTTTGTAGGCAGCTGTTACAGGTTTCTCTCGAGCCAAAGCACATGTGCAAACACTGTAGAAGGGTTAAGACAGCCATCAGTTGTATTAGACAGTTGGTAGAGGCAGGCAGTTAACGGTGCAGCTGCACGACGACATATATTTTACCTTTTTCTCTTTGAGGGGCAATATGGCCCCTGGTCTTAATTCTCTGATTTGTGGTTCAATTCGAGTGGTGGGCTCTACCAAATTTTTCACCCCTACATCTTTAACTGTGCACTTCTGGAAAACCTGAAGAGTAAAGAAAAGTGAGGGGGAAATGGGGACAAGGATCTTGGGGAGGGAAGGAGTATCTTAACCACTGCCATAGCTACACGTCCCCCCCCCTTCCTGCCTGACCCCAAAAATTATTTTCAAAATCAATGAGGGGTAGCTCTTTTGGCAGCTGGTAGTGCCTATCCTTTGCCATTTTTGAGGAAATCAGCCACCCAAGAAGGCAACCCACCCACACAATGCAGAATGTAACAAATGCCTTACTACACCCCTTAAGTGTGTGTGTTTGTTCATGTGTTTGAGGGAGTGTACATGTGCATCTAACCTGGAGCTCTGCCATAATCTTGTCGCCTTCGTCCTCTTCTTCTCTGGTGACACAAGCCGTAACAGGGGGAGGAGTGGCAGGCTTTGGCTTGATCTCTGGTGGAATCTTGGACGATTTGGCCTGGGGAGTGGAAGGTGGGACCTCCTCTTCACCATCCTGTAAGAAGTTATTTACTCATTACTTTTCAAAGTCATTAGCAAGATTATTCAAAAGTTAAAAACACGCTAGGCGTTAGATGAGAAAACTGATATCACTTTATCACTAAATATGCAGCAAGAGCTAGGAGGCAATTAGCCTGTGCTGCTCAGCACCTCATCACGGTTCCATAAATTACACCCCCCCCTTTTTTAACCTTTTTTTGAATTTTGCCTGGCTGTTCCATCCTGCTTCATTTTTTGCTACCTTGTCAAAGACCACTGCCTACCTTTTGACTACGATTGTGTTTACCAAAGCCATTTTCAACGGAATCCCCTGAACTCCAATCATGCTTTTGAGTCCTTACCTGATGGTGTGATATTTTCTTCCCTTTTAATTTTTAAATTCTTAACGAGTTCACAAACTGCAGCTGCCATTTGACCATATTTCATAGGGCATCTACCTACCAGACTGACCTGAGCTGAGACAGACTCCTTCCTGCTGGTGTAGACCACTTCACCAGAGCGTGTAGTAGTTATGCCTGAACCTGAGGTGGAATAGGTTTTCCTCGGTGGTGGTGGTGGTGGAGGGGACTTAATGGGCTTTTCAAACATCTGCTTGGTAACAGTGTCAATGGGCACTGGCTTGATGGCAGTCTTGGAGGATTTGGTTGGTTTCTCCACCACAGGCTGAGGAAGTTTCTCAGGCCCCTTGATGACTGGTTTGTCTGCATGGAGCTCAGACTGGGACTCTTCTGTCATATAGATCAATTCAATTATACAGGATGACTTACTTAAAGTATGTTCACATATAGCAATAAATGTAAAATGTGACCATGTTTGTGTTTTTAGTAACATTTACACTAGGTTTGTACCTGAAGGAGACTCCACAAGATTGGCTTGCTCTACACTGGCAGCAGGTGGCAGTGCTGGGCTCTCTTCTATCTCTAGACAGGGAATGCCCTTCATCATGTTAGCCTGGGCCTCTTGGAGGATCTTCTCAAACTCTTTTCCATCGTAATGATCCATGTTTTGCCTCCTCTCTTGCCACTCCTTCTCTACTGCCTACAAGTTGCAGAAAATAACAAAGAAAGATAAAAAAAAGTAAGAAAGTAGGCTGAAGCTATGTTATTCCAAAAAAGATTGCCTACAGGAGAGTAAAATAACTAAATAAAGCCATTTAGGATAACTGAGTTGACTGATTTGATACAGAATGCTAATAAGAGAGACTTATTATCATCACAGCTTTACTATGTTGGATATAAATCAAACACATATGATGCTGGCTTGGTGACTAAATGTACCTCTATGGACATGGCTCTCTGTTTGCTTTTGTCCTGACTGCTCTGCAGCTCCTCTATGACAAGATTCTGGTTTGTTGAGCTGTTGATATTATTCACTGGGTTCTCATGGGCCTTTTTATGACAGATGGGACCTGGTGGATCTGAGGCACCCGTATTGAGAGACTCTTGGTCTTGACGCTTAGTTGGTTTGGGACTGGGAACCTGTGTTGGGCTGGGAGTGAGTGGGGGACTGGGCTGAGCAGTCAAGGCGGCAGACTGCTGGGACTGCTGAATGTGGACTGGGAAGCTCTGGATGTGATGGATGACCACTGGGGAGGAAGGCATCACCTCTGATCTGATGGTAGAGCTCTGAGGCTCTAGTTGGCCTGAGGTGGAGCCAAGCTGCACTGATGCTAGGGGAGCTTCTGCAAGGGCCTCTGATGAAGGGCCATCCACTGGGACATAAGCACAAGGATCAGGCCCTTTCTGAGGACCCTCAGTAGCACATCTGCAGAGAGGAGGGAAACCATATGTGATACAAACCATGTAGAAAAGATCTTACATTCTTATCACACTAGGTCAATCTCTTATAAATTACACATAAAAAAGTTAAAACTATATTCATATTTATTGTTTAATTTTGTTACATTCTTATCCAGACTGAAAATATATCAAATTCTACAATAAACCTGACAAATAATATTGGCTAATTCTGACATTAGGGGTAAAACAGCACCAAAAGTTGTGAAGCAGTATCTTATAGCTTGCCAACCAGGCATGTCTTGAATAAAAGACAAGCGAGTTGTGGCAGGAGGGAGAGCGAGAACCCTGGGATCTGTGACATATTGAAATGGAAATGAGTTGCTGCAGTGACCACCAAATTAATTCACTTATCGGTTCAGTGAAGGCAATGGAAGTAAATCAAGCTGAACGCCATACTCCTCTGTCCACGCAGAATGACCCATTTGATGGGACGGGTCAGTATAATCAAGTACAATCTCCCACATCGCAGACCCCTGTGAGTAGCCTTGCAGAGTGCTTTTTGTTTTTATCTTCAATTCCCTCTCTCAATCTCAGCCACTACACTATAGCAACCTACTCTCCTGATGCCTACTTTTCCCTCCTTTCACATTTGCTTATAATCTTTCCTCTACCTTCTCAGACTGCTGAGAGTGTCAGTCAGGCTCTTGACTCGTTTCAGCATGCTGTCCAGTTTATGGGGCTCCTCCTTCAAAAACTTGACGGCTTCCACCTCCACCCTGAGGACAGCCCGCATCCTGGTTTGTAGGTTTGGGAACTCACCTGAGGAAATAAGCATGCAAACATTTTGTCAACAGCTGCTATTATAGAAAACCTTTCAGTCCAATGTTTTCTGATTGTATTATCCTTTTACTTTCCCTGGAATTTTATGATGGCACTATTAGATAATTAATCAAGAATTTGGTCTCATATAATGCACAATAATGAAACAATGTATTACTTTGAATATCACATCAACTATTTTAGTCTGTTTTTGCACATTTGACATTTCAGAATATAAATTAATATTGCAAAATATGCTTAAAAATATTGATTTTAACCTTATTGCCAAAAGGCCAGTAACAGCCTGATATTATACAAACCAAAGTGTCCGTGTGTTATTGAACAATTAGACAATAATGTAGCACAACTTACCAACTAAGCACTGTCCTGTATAGTTAATGGTAACCAATAGAGTGTTCCCAGTAGTAAGAACAGTACCTGTCATCTTACCTTTGAGCCCTGCCAGAGATTCTCCCACTTTCCTCAGTGTCACTGCTCCCTCTTCCACATCCTTCAGGGTCACCACTCTGTGTGTCGCTGCCGAGTCCTTCTGCAGAGAGCCTACATACTGCTCCAGCTCGCTGCAGACACAAACAGCATGCAAAGTGGAAAGGACACAGATTATAGAGGTTGGCCACATATTATGAGGTGCTAACAATTAATGATTCCCTGCCAAATGAAATAGTGCTGTTCATTAAGAATGGGTCAGGGTGGACCAAAAGAGTCCTGCCGATCTCTCTATATTCTAGATAACATCTTATTATCGTCGCTCTGACGGCAGTGGTTCACTTGCATAAGAACAGCACGTCCATAGTTAAACTTCCTGTTCCAACCCAATTTAAATCTGAGAGGTTATGCTCGTGAGCTTGAGGATATGGACATATTGCCATGACAACCAACAGATTGAGGATCATATGAAATTGTCAAAAAACTTGTCAAGTTGTCATATGAAGAGCACATCCCAGGGGGCAGGACACAATCATTTATCCCAAAAATGATGAAGCAATACTGACTGTTAAAAGTGAAAACAGACTTTGGAACATCTATAAAAAAGGAGAAAATCATATCATATGTAAAATAAACTCAAGGATCAACACTGACAATAAATTTATCCACACTTCCTAACATATCACAGTGCTTCCCAGCCATCCCAGTTTTCAAAAAATGGGGGGAAATGTGCTGAATGATAACATTGTATGCATTGTTAGACTGCATGAGAGGGACTTAAAATGGCGTTTCACTGTGGCTAGGTACCCCTGAGAAACACTCTTTTATAGAAGTCTCCTAAAGGGAGTGAGAAAGGCAATAAGGAGAAAGTGTGTTAAATGCCCTGCTATGCCAAGGTCTGTTGATAAGAGGTATGGTGATGGGACATTCCAGCTGTACAAAAAGGAAACAGATTTCCCCTTTTGTCAAACCACCCACAGATAAAAACAGGTACAGTATGCCTCCATAATTTATGTTTGGGTGTCAGAATATAAGCGGCAGCATTCATAAAAAGCCCAATAACTAAATATTTCTCATCATATTCTCTTTTATATACTGTAAATTACTGTATCTGAAACTTAAGAAACTGACTTTCTTGTGGCACTATACTGATAAGAATCTGTATTTTCATTCTGTAGAAGCTTTGTCACCACCTTCAGTGTACCAACAATGACAAGCCATCAAATTTAATACTCCTAATACTTCTTTGTTTTATCAAGCCTTCTTGTTTTTGGATTACTGGCTAACTATCCCACACAGTAACAGTTTCAAGTAATTTAAACTGAGCCTTCTTGTGTTGCCACTGAAGTATAAAATGTTACAAAATGCAACCTTGTAGGTCATGATAGATTTAGATTTCCTCCTGAGAGGGCAGTGGTTTTCACAATTCACTGTCCCCTCAGGTCTTTAAGCCATGCAGCCCTAATAACCAAGCCTTATTTAACGCACCAGCAGTCATGTTATGCTGGCTCACAATTGGCTAGATGCTGCGGGGAACAGAGAGCTTAATCCACCAGTTTATTTCTCAGTTTTCATGAACTGTTATCATGGTGTTTACTGGAGCATGTGTTCAATACTGTCTAGCAACACTCTTTAACCTTGCTTGTAAACATCCACATAAAAAGGACTCAATTACTGCTCCCTGTTGGCAAAATGCTGCAAGTGAATTAAAATAAGAGTGGGATAGTGGATTACCCCTGTTTGAGTCCATTATTTTGCTGTCTCTGATAGGCAGGCGCTGCTTGCCTCTATAAACCCGTGGGCTGTAATTTGGAGGGTGTTGGCTTGTCAAAGAGTTTAGGATTGAATAGAACAGAATAGCTCAGGTGAGCTGATAAAAAATGAAGTCTTTTGGGGATTTCCTGTAAATGGAAGCACTGGAGATGCATGGGTGTGTCAGTACTTGTTCAAGAGTTTCATGAAGGGAGTTAAAACCAGTAACAATAAATGCAAACAACCATAACTGATACAAAAAATAAATGAAATGAAATGAAATGAAATCAAATCAAATCAAATCAAAAGCACAACAGCTGTTTATGGATGTAAATCAGTAAATTTTGAACAGCCTTGCCTGAGCTGTTGAAGGACAAACTCCTCCAGAACCAAGTACTTGTTCCTGTCTTCTTCTACCACAGTTCTCTGCCTCTGGACTGGGTCCTCCAGACGCCGCATGGCCTCTCCGAGTTTAACACTGATTTCCTGCTCTGCCCGCTCCAGCTGAATCCGTAATGCCTCCTGGTTTTGGAGCTGAGGGGAACATATATTGGAATGATATATTTCAAGAGCTGGACTAGCAAACCAACATGCAGAGCTTTAAAAATATTATTCAGGTGTGCAGTCACTCACATGCATACCCAGGGGGTGGATATCTGAACAGACACTACCACACTCTAAATTATTTCAAGAGAAAGAATGAACAATGCCTTGCCTGCAGTTGTCTCATCTGATGGAGCTGCATCCTGAGGTCAGAAACATTTTTCCTGAACTGCAGGAGGTTGACTTTGAGAGGAACTGAGCCTTTTTCTGAAGGGGCTGCACTGCTCTTGGGAGCCAAGACTGGGGAACCACCTGGCCCAAAGAAGAAAGTTTGTTTCCAGGAAAATATTACTCAAATAGTACATTTTCAGTTCATTTGCACAGTTTATAATAGCTCTTATCATTACACCACAGTAGAAATTACACCTATAATTACTGTACAAGCACAAAAATGTACTGTAAAAGGATAATTCTCCTCTTAGAGGGGGTACTTATTATCTTCCAAACCCTCATACTGTTATCAAGGCAGTGTGACTTTAGTCTACAAAGTATTGGTTAGACTATACACGTCTGCAAACACATACTTCCTGGTAACACCCTGGTCTGGCTTAAGGTTCCTAATGCTTAGCAATATCTGCCTCACCTCTCTGCGGTTGTCTTTTTGCCTACACAATAAGCACAGATATACTGATACCCGTAGCCTACTGGCTGCACTTCTGGGATGTCTGTCAATTGATTTCAGCATTTCAGTCATGGCTAGAGATTGAGAAGAGGGTGAAACCATGGAAACTGTGAGAACTAATATTTGTGGCTTGAGTGAAAAGTCCCCAAGTGGCCGACACCAATAATAGTTTAATTCAAACAACTTTCAGAAAGTCCTGCATGAGTTTGGACTTTAATGACCTTTTGTTATTTTCAGTACACACAGATGACGATCTTCTGACAGAGTTAAAGGATAAAGCCAGTTATTTTCTACATTAACAGTATTTTCAACACTTCACATACAGAGACTAAAACCCACAGTGAATTGCCTCTGCTCCCTGATGTGTTTTTAATCATGTCTGATGGGGATCTATCGCATAGATGAACAAGCTAATCAGGTACTGATGGACATTAAACATGACTAGAGGCAATTCATTGTTGGTTTCAGTCTCTGTATGAAGGCTGCTGAAAATACTATTAATATAGAAAATGACTAGCCTTATCCTTTAAATTAATATCAGATGATAAGTGGGCTTAAGGTATGTTCACATTACAGTGGAAAAACGAGGGTCTTGCGCTGCCTGTTCCACAATGCGTTTGGTGCTGAAACTCACACAGAAATTCCCAGGGCGCTGTACCAAATGGCACAGCTATACTGCTAATGTTGCTAGGAATAGATGACCAATGTTATGTTTTAGAGGAACAGATTGTGTTTTTTTAAACAGTCTTGGTAACAGCACTTGTGTGCTGATATTTCGCTGGCTAAATAGGTTGTCTGTCTTCATCTGAGCTCAACATGAAGATCATATTAGGGTACAGTTTGTAACCTGGGGTTCCATGAGTACAGGCGAAGCCAGGGTGAGAGAGTGATTGGCTGTGCACACAGAGGTCAGTGCAACCGGGGTTCAACAAATTTGTACTTTCGGTGCACCCCGGCTCTGTGCTGTACACCATGTACATGTGCACAGAACCTGCACAGCACACCACATACATATCAATGGCAAGGGGCACACATAAGCCATTTTCCATTGCAATGTGAACATACCTTTAAATCCATACAGTATTTCCTCAGAGCAGACTGATTTGAAGGCAAACAGTTGTTGCACTAAAATTACAAAACATTTTCTCACTGACCTTTAGAGGTCAATGAGAAATTCCAAGATTCATGTCTGTATCCCAACACAGTGGCTGGGGTGTCATTTCATTTTTGAGCTTACAGCAGTGAAATATTATATTAAAAGTCTTTTACAGCAACACAGTGTATCTTTCCAGAAACAATGTGCCCATTGCTTTGAATAATCAGCAGTACAAGCTACGAACAGAAAACTGTTCCAGTATCTGTGGATTATGCACAGTAACTGGGAAATTGTTTCTGCAAATTAAAATTTTCAAAGCTGTGGGCACTTCAGATGAATTTCATTAACCTTCATTGTACTGGGCTTGAGGCACAAGTCAGACATTTCAAAACATGGGCAAAGAAAACTAAAACATCCTGCATGGCTACAAACCACTAAACGCAAGTGAGAAAATATTTGTTTTGTAATTTGGGATAACCAGTCCTTTAACCTCAGAAAAATAAGGAAAGTACTGTCTCTGCTGATCAGTAATGCAATAGGTCAAATAATGTTCAGAGTGCACTCTAAGCTTCCTCAACACAGAGACTCACTTTCTGCTGGGGCAATAAAAGAACAAACTTAGCCTTCATAATCCTAAAACTCTATTTACCCTGTCTTGCTTACATGTGACAACTGCCCAGACCTGAAGTACAGGTTACAGTGTACACTGCTGGTTGTGTTTGTGTTTTGGGCCTTGGAAACACAATGTCTACAAAAGAAGTGAAGGCTGCATAGTGACAGTGAAGAGTTGTGCCACTTGTTTCTCATGTTTAACACTAACTTTTCTGATGAACACAACATGACAATTAAATCCCTCCAATGCTACATATGAATTGTGTGATGAGACATGAGATTATCTCTTAAGACACACAGTGTTGGGTTTTCTCTCCACCACTGGAGAGGTTTATCCAACCTAGATCTGATCACACAGTGTCGCAGAAGGAAAACTGAATTGCTGAATCATCTCGGCAGGCTTGAGAAGTAATAGTGTCTTGTTTTAAGAAGTGCTTTGCAGGGCTTGTGTTAACTCTGCTGGCTCTCATTGCTTAACTCCTATTAAACTGGATGTAGAACTATGAGGAAATATGAACCGATGACAAACAAAAACACCTGGTATTGTTTTCCCTCCCTCCAGTAGAGCTCGTTGCAGAACGTTTTGTCTGACAATAGTGTGTGGGCTTGTCTGCACAACCTATGCTACATCTCTTGTTTAAACATATAAATGATGAAATTGCAAAATACTAACCTGAGGTATGTGCACTGTGGGCTGGAGATGATGTCTTCGGTGGTCTCTCACTGCAGCCAGAGAACAATTCATAAGAGCAGGAATTGGATTGCAAAAAATTCAGTTTGGAACATTTTAGATTTACAGGTTAGTTTTAGTGTGAACAAACATATTACAAGAAAGTATGAGAAAGACTGACAAACCAGAGAGGTTAAAATGATGTTAATGATGTTAAACTTCATCAGTGTTCAGCATCACATATCAAACTCATTTAAGTCATTTAGCTATTTTTTTTTACAAATAAAGAATGATAAAGCTAAAAGGCAAGCAAACATTAATGCAAGGTCTCCATAGAAAAAAATCAAAATGCAAAGAGTTGAAATGCAGCCAGATAAACCACATATAGTGGCCATTTATTTAGAAGGCAAATGGCTTCAATATCAGATTCACAGTCAAACCTATTTCCTCCTCAGCAGATGCTATTTAACTTGTATTTGATATGGCCATTATAGAAGGGATATTTTATCGTTCCCACTCTGGCTGGATACATTTTTCATTTGAAACTCCCATTTCCACTGATTCCTTATCCTGCCCTATACTGCGATTGCTTACCTTAGAGGCTCCTTGGCGCCACTAGTGTTTGGAGCTTTTAAAAGTGCATGCTGAACAAGACCAGTCAAGCTGGCAATCTGTTGCTCCATTGCTTTCATTCGCTCTCTGCAGAAACATCAGAAAATTGTACTTTCAACACTGTGGCCTATTCCATATTGACCCAGCAAGAAAATGGGAGGGCTGTAACAGAATAATCACTTGTTTTTAAATACCTGACCATGAATAACTTTATTGTGTGGATGGGTTACACAGCAGAGATTTTGGTAACCCCTTAATCTACGGCCATTATCTACACAGTAATATGAAGAAATTGCTAAATGAATATGAAAAATATGTAATGAGTAGCTGTTGTTTATAAATAACCAGAAATTAGGCTACTGGAAAGTACCATGTAAAATTGAAGCAGAATAAAGAGGTTTGGGCGGTAACTTATTGTTATAATAGCAGGTACGTGGCCACAGGGGGTACCTGTTGTTTCAGTAGAAATGACTTAATTAGCCTACAGCATGTCCTTGTTGTTGTCACTCAGTGTAAACATAAAGCTAGGGTTCTGGTGATATAACCAAGTACTTTCTGTAACCACTATCAGGAACATCCAGGGATTTAAATTTGAACAAGTGAAGGGTTGTGAAAGTCACCCAATTCCCAGTTTACCAACAGGAAATGGTACCAGACACTAGAAATGTCATTGGTTAAGCTATCTCTTAATTACCATTGTGTGAAATCATATGGACAGTTGCAATAAATATGTATTTTCATTGTAAATACTATCCACTGATTCATTATTATTTTCCAAATATTACATAATGACAAGTACTATGACATTTCACCATAGTTACCCTTCTATTGCCTGTGTGCACTCGTTCTTTGAAATATACAAGGGATTTTTGTATGATAAAGTACAAGATGGTATTTAATAACAAGGTTATTGTGAAAGTAAACCACAGTAGTTCCCCATTCAAATACCGACACTTTTTTCTTACAATGCCAGGGCATTTCTGATGGGGGCTTCTGGCTACCCAGGTGGTTCAGCCTGATTTGTCTGACTGCTTGGGCCATTTCAAATACGCATTCAACATGGTCAATATAATGTTAGGTTTTCATAGGTATGCACAAAGACTTTTAGCCTCCCTGTTAAGGAAACAATGTCCGCCTGGCTAAGGAAGCACCCCTCGCTCTCTATTTCTATGTTTATGTGGTTTTAGTCAGAGCAGAGAAATCTAACCCAGGTACCAGATGTCTACTTGATTATTCAAACTGAATAAACATTATTCAGCATTATGTTAGTACAACTATTAGAAAAATATACAGTATAAGGTTTTTTAGATATTATCCTGCTTCAATGGTGGTAGCTATGTCTGAGTGTACACACACTATTAATCAACACTGTGAGGTTTCAAACTTTGAACAGACTATGAAACAACCGAACCCAACTTAAGCCTAATTGTGTGTCTTACTTCATGTACACATCTTAAAGTGAGAGGGCTGTTTATATTCTTGCATTTAGTCATGGGTGAAGAAATGGGGATTACAAACCAGCAGCTCATGGTTAGAGTGAAACTGGGATGCAGAGTTAGTCCATGCTCCCATGCAATGTCTTCATCTTAATTTTAACAATCCAGGCCACTGGATGTAACATGAGGTCCCCTGGGGGACTTACCGTGTCTGGTCACCAGCAGGTGGAATGGGTCCCTGGAGGTCTGGAATCACAGGTGATCCCATGTTGTTCCGAGGTTTGGTCCCTGTCATTTCCTCCTTCCTGAAGGACTGGCGTACAGGTGAGCTTCTTTCTATGGGAACACCCTGGGGTGGAATGCCATGGATGTCAATTATCCGTACCTCAGTCATCCGGTGAGGGGACGGGGGAGGAGTCTTGGAGCCCAAAGTAGGCAGTTGGCTGTTTCTGGTCTTCTGCCTGTACAGAGATGCGTGATCCATTGTGTCTGTGGGGCTGGGCCCACCATAGGAACTTGCGGAGCGGATAGAGGCACGATGAAATCCCCCCAAGACATGTTCAGGACCATCAAGTCCAAGGCTGGGGTGTGGTCCATGGGCAGAAGCCATGCTCAGTCGTGTCTCCTGGATCAGATATGGATCTGCATACAACCCCTCATTTCCCCTAGCTAGACTGTGACTCTTCCCCACCGTGTCCTCATCTGGCTTCACATCCCGTCTCTCCAGGATAGCGCTAGGACAGGGTGAGATGGAGCGTGCTGGAGGGTTGGCAGTCGATATTCGCTCCCTTGGCATAGTGGCGCTGCTAGGTAGCGAACCCTGCCGTGAACCATACGGGATTCTAGATGGTGATGAGGGCATGGACTGGGTAGATGGCGAGAGCGCTCCCTGTATTGGATGGTGTGTTGGGGGAACCATGGGGGGCTGCCTTAGTGGGGGCTGTCCATTGCGACTAGCTTGCACCATCTCATTGTGCATCTAGCCAAGAACAAAATAATATGGACATTTTATCATACATTTGCAAACACAAAAATAGAAATATTACTACTTCAAATATTGCATAAAAATTCAAGAAAAGGACTGATTCAGTAAACCAGACTATTGTCCACTACTGTTTTAAAACAAAGACATCCATCTAACTCAGTTCACATTGTTAAGTTTTAAAATAAAAGACAATTTAAATTTTTCCAGAAGCAGAAAATGGATATTTACAAGGCTACTATCCTCCAGCATACAGCATTTCACTCAGAGTACTGGATATTATCCCCAAGGCTTCTATGAAATAATATTACAATACAATGCAGTACAACCCACAGGGTTCTGTCTTTGGATAGAAAGTCTGCAGCTTTTATAAAAGTGAGGTGAGTTACTTTTTTCATCTTTAAACAAGCTCTGGGAGTTCAATTACTCTTTTTCTAAAAGGTTTTAATGTGCACCTCCAGGGCTAAAATGCAGCTGGTAAATTTGCAACAAGATCTGTCTATTTAAACAGTCAGCTAACCTGGGCTGCTGTTCTTTAGCCCAACAATCCATAAAGGACCCTTAAGTTTAATGTGCAATAAACCTAACCTCATTTAACTAGAGTGGATTTCCAGGTTGAGTCTTAAAGGTGCACAGTAGAAGTGAACTCAAATATTCTAGGCAGTGGATATGTGATGTGCTATATATGATAACACTGTGCTGAGGAGTGTCACTCGCGGGACTGAATCCAATCCATCTCCCTTCCTGTCAAACTCTCTATTCCAGTCAAACAAACAACCTATTGTTCCTTCAAGGTATGACTCATGAGTTACACCTACACAAGAAGGTAAGTCAAAACCTAAAGAAGAACCTAAGTCCTTTAAAAAAGGCAGTTTTTGACACTTGGTGTTTTTCAGTGTTGTCTATATTTATTTTGTCTTAAGCATCAACACAAATTAACACACTGAAGAGAACAATAAAGTGAATGTGGCATGTTTGTGTGTGTGAGACTGTGTTTGAGAGTAGGTGTGTGTACTGTATGAGGAAGAAAACAAAGTGTATAGTAACAAAGGACTCAGGCTTGGCTGTGACAACGATAAAAAAAAGAAACTTGCTGGCAAGGAAAGCTCACACAGCCCATAAATATAGCAGCAACAAGTCTGACTAGCCAACAAAACATATAATAGTACATTTGAGAAGCATGGAGCCACTGAAAGCTATCATCAAACTCTAATGACCTCCACCATGCAATGTGCCTATGCACATAAAAAGAAAGGTTGCCACACTGTGCAGGAATTCCTATGAAGCACTAAATAACATCTATGACTGCACTGCCAGTTCCATCGCTTGTCAATCCCCACCAGATGTTTCACCCTTGGCGCACCAACCATTCTTAATCAGTTTTGTCTGTACAACATGCATAACCACAGCTTTGAGACAAAACAGAAAAAGTAAAGGCTTAAAACACAAACACACAAGTTCCTATGTTAGGCAAAAGCGAGACTGTGCTGAGAACATTTGGCTTGAGTTTTTCTAGTGGACTTTTTAAAGACCTCTCTCTGTGTTTCCACTGCACTCTTAAGCTTCCAGTAATGAGAGCGGCATGTCTGGTAGCAGCGCACAAAGTTGCCTTGATTGCTTGCCATGTCAGAGATGGAGAGGGTTTCTAATCTGATTCACAAACTGCAGAGCCTCAGAGGCAGCCAATTTAAACTGCTAAAGAGGAGCTGCGCTGCGATGTGTGTGAACGTTTAAAGAGTTAGCTGGCTGGAAAAACTATGCTGCCGTGCACCTAATATAATATAATAACCACTTTCATTGGCCAAGTATGTTACACACACAAGGAATTGGTCTCTGGTACAGGAGCGAAGTAGCCATCTGTGGTGCCAACTAACACACACACACACACCTTGCGCTGTCCCTCACTGCTTTGGGCTTAGTTCTTTACGTAACAGCAGATGAATGTTTCAAAATGTTTGCTGCTTTTTCAGCAATTGAAAAATGACAAAAGAGATGGTTCAAATGTAAGAAAAGGCTACTTTATTCTGAAAGTCTGCAGCCTTTTCTCATTATCAAGTTACTTATCCATTACTGTGTATCTGTACACCTTATATCAATTACTACTATTACAAAAAAGAAGTCAAAGTTGCAGTACAACAGTGGAAAAATACTCTGTTACAAGTAAAAACCCTGCATTCAGAATGTTACTTAAGTAAAAGTACAAAAGCAAGTAAAGTACAGATACCTCAAAATAGATTTTAAGTAATTAAGTATAGTATTTCAGGAAATGCATTTTGTTACTTTCTACCTCTGGTTGTTTTAATAATCGGGGGTAGCTCTATTTGCCCAGAAAGCTTTGATTAATAACAGAGGTGACCACAGGTTCTGCTTTAAAACTGATCTGAGGCCTGGCCTTCCTGCAAGAGGAAACTCAACAGGCCAAACAGACGTTAAGTACCCCCCAACCCCTCACAAAAAACTGTCAGTGTTAGAATTTCTATTTAATTATTAAAAAGCATCTCTGACTGTGTGTCAAAGCTGTTAAATGATTTAGTAGAGCTTGTCATAAAGCTGCCATAAGAACAGAAGATTCTTGATTAATGCCACAAATGTCATCTTACTATTTCTTTTCTGTCCTGTTCTCTGCCACTGACCAACAACTTGGCCTCCACCCCCCCCACAGCCACATCCAGTCCTGGTGTCTGAGTAAATCGCAGCTTAGTTAAAGAGTGACACAACTGTATCTCTACTTCAGAATTAAATTTCAAAATGGTTGCACAAGAGCGTTTAGAAAGTTGCCTCACTTCGTTTTGCTGAATTCACTTCAGTACAAATTATATTTTTTTCTAAACAAAAAAAATTGGGAGCTTCTGTTAAAAAATTTACAAAAAAGATTGAAACATATATTCTAGAAAATTCAAATTCTTCTACTTATGCCAGTTTGCCACTATTTCTGCTCTTAAACTGTTTGCGCTATCTATTAAATTCCCATTTCACTTTATCTATTGTATCTTTTTAGCATCTTTCTTTCTCTACAGTTTTTTCCTCATATGTTCACATCCCCTTGAACGACCACATTAGCTAGACTCAGTCAGTGCAACTTGTCTTTCAGCAGCAGAAAGCAAAGAGTTTCTACAGCACATCAAAGTCATCGTGCCATCTGAACCGAGACCTCTTAAACCATCATAATATTTGCCTGATAATTCCTTTAAATTTTACCAGCTCTATTTCACACTTATATCACACAATCAGTATGTGATACTGTGAGATTATAGCTAATGTCATCTTTGCAGTATCACAATAGTGCTTCAAAGACAGATCTGAAGAGGAGTCTTGGGAGGAAGGGGCTCTTTTGTTGCATCAGTACGAAAAAAAAAAAAACACACGGTGGAATCTTAAAAAGAAAAATAGCTTAGAGCTTTTATTGGGGAATGAACGATAGCCCTGATAATTGAGTTAAATTGTCCCATAAGCAAGCTGCACCAGAGCATACGGGCTCCGAGACTGAATCACAGCCCCCTGTGAAAACAATATAAGACCCCCTCTAAACAGATTAACAAGAAGCAAAAGGATATTATGGCCCTTAACTGCAGACATAATGTGAGAAGAAGAAGAATTGCAGGCTGGGATTACTTTTCTTTTGACAACAAGTCTGATCATATCCCTGCAGTTTCTGCTGTAAAGAAGATAATTTATACGCTGTGTTAGCACTGTTAAGTACTCACCCTGACATCACTGTTGGCAGGTCTTGGCCCATGGCTAAAAGCCTGTGCTGGGTCTTTGTGGTAGACCTTTAGGCAGGAGTGGTCTGTGATGTTCCTGTAGGGAGAAGAGGTATCGAGTTGTAAGAAGGCAGTCCAGATATCACCGTCAGACAGCGGCCGATTCTGCTTCCTGGATCTCCTTAGCAGCCCTGCTAAGGGTATGTACCCCGACAGAGGCTCTGAAGTGTCATGCAACAGTCTTCTGTTATGTGACATTTCCTCTAACTCTCAAAAGTTGAAAAAAAATAACCAGTGATACTGTGCTGAAATGTAGCTTGACTGCAAAAAGGAGAGCAGATCTGTTTTTATCTTTTTCACCGTTCTCACTCTCTTACTACAGCACTGTGTTCCGGACACCTCTGCCAACCTTAAGTAATCACGAGGCAACTTTTTTTATAGCTCTGATTAGGAATTAGTCTCAAAGTACACTTGTTCTTGAGCAAGAACTCTGGAAGCAAAGGGGCAAAGTTGCTTGTGTCTTCAAGGGTAATGTTTTTTTTCCCTCTGAACAATATAGAACCTTCATTATTATTGACAAGACATGCATGAGATACTGAACAAGGCAGAAGGAAAAAGGAAAGCATGTTTGCATGCATGTAAATAAGATACACTTGCTACACTATTCTTTGGAAAAAGCATAAAAGTGTATAAAAAGACAAAGCTTGCATTGCTCAAACTTTCCAGAGTAAAACTTTCACCAAACAGGAAAGTCATCAAAGTCTCTCAAGAGTGCTGTTCAGTTTGTTTGGGGATGTCAGCGACATTTTGTTGTAGGGCTTCATCTCCAAATAACTTTCTTCCTGCTAAGTTTTAACATGGAGGGAAAAGGAAGTAAGAAGCTTTCCTGGCCAGTGACACTTTCTGTGCAGGGGATGTTTAGACAGGAAGTGCTCATGGAGGGGAAAAGGACAGGGCTTTCACAGGAAGAGTGAATCTATGGAACAATATGAACCTTGGACATCCTGTTAACCTTAGACTGACTGAACACCATGTTTGCTGTCAAGTACACTGATTCTGCATCCATGTTCAACACACAAAAACATACATCTTTACCTGACATCTGTGAGCTCATAGTACATATTCCTCATATCATCTTTGACATAAACAGCGACGCTGGGTGACTCCAACATTTTCATGGTAAGCTGCTGTGGGAAGGCACCAACAAACAGAGCTCTGACAGTGTCGATGCCGGTGATCTCATTGGGCATGCGAATCTGTTTGGTCTCGTCCCCGTACTGCAGGTACAGAACACCTATGGACAGAAAACATGTAAACAGGTGCTTGGACAGAAGTCAACTCTTTTCCACTTTACACATATACACAGGACCTACCTCACTCCGTTAAAACAAGACCTAATGAAACACACTGCTTCTGCTGTATGTACTTCTCTTTCTTTCATGCTTTTTTTTTTTTTTTTTTTTTTTACATTTGCTCTTGTTCTCTGCAAATTTATGCAAAATTCAATAAAACTCTTTGGGTTGCAGTTGGGACAGCATGATTTAAGTAAAATATAGCCTTTCTGGTGCCACTTTGCATCAATGAAAATACTCTTCACAATATCTGGTCATGACTGCTCGTGCAGATATCAGGACAGATGTAATTTTTCAAAGATCAGTTTCCTCATATTTCCAGTGGTGTAGTATTTATACAGTTAAACCCTAGTAGTTGACAAAGACAAAGCAGATTCATCCTCTTCAGTTTCTGTCTGTATGGTCACCATCTCTGGATTTGGAAAACATTCTTCTTTGTCTTTTGAATGGGGCTTCACAATGAATGGCTATGACACAAAGGACACCAAAACCATTGGACTGGTAAAAACCTTTTCTGGGTGTGTGGTTTTCTTGTTCATTCTGCAGAATATTTGCAAGATATGTAGTTTTGTACTAAACTTACCACCTGACTCTTGTTCATGTTAGTCGTTTGAGAATAAAATGCAGTACGTACAAGATGAAATGACAATTTACATGACATTCAGAAAGAACGTTGGGGCAGAAACATGAGACAGAAGCAGGGGTGTGCTGGAGGTGGAACAGTACAACTTGTGCATCAAAAAAACCAAAGTTGAACCTCTGAACCTTGGGTGTGGCTTCTGTACTGTGCATTACAAAAACAGATGTCTCTCCCACAAAATGTGTGCAAACACCCACACTGCACTTGTATATACAATCCCAGCATGAAAAAATAACACATTTCTACTTCTATTCTCTTGATTTATTGTTGAAAACAGCATGGAACTGAACAATACAGAGGGTGTCTGTATCAATAATAGGACATTTATGAAAAGTTATGTTCTAAAACCGTTGTATCATATTCAATGAACGTCACATTTCACAATTTGCTGAGACATGAGGACTTGTGGCACATTTAAAATCATTCAGATCAGATTCTCTTTTACACTGAAAACAGCTGGTTTTATGGAAAGGAGTTATGGTCTTGGTATAACATAAAAGGACCAAGTCAGTAAAAGCTACCAGATGATGGTGAAATATTATACAAGATCCTGCATGTTTCCTGAGAAAGACTGAGGCAGAGTGAGGGCAAATCCAGGAAATAAAACTGCTGAGTCTATCTATTGCTCTTTCTGGTCTGTCTGGTTTCCTGGGTAGTAATAACTTAACAAAGTCCCCTATTTGCAGAATAACATTATCGCTCCCCTGAGAGCTGAAACAATCAACTAGTTTTCATCTAGATGTTAGCAACTAGAGCAAATACGTTGGATGACAAAGCACCATTGATCAAGCAGTGTGTAAATTTGGATTCTTTGCCATCAGCTTATTGCAGTAAAGTTGAATAGCTTGGTTCTAACAAAGAGCAGCGTTACATTCCCGAGCACCTGGTTTCTCTCAGGACTGTAAGCAAATGGCCCAGTGGGTTTCCTGACCAAATGGGCACAGCACAGCAGACTATCTGACGTCTAAAACACATTTCTACATCTCTCTGATGAGACGCAAAAGTTTAAACTAAGTGCAATCATGAAAAATATCATTCTGCGCCTGTTAATATCACTTTGTACACGTTTAAAATGCATCAGAAAAACAGAGAGACTACATTAGAACCACAGAATAAATACACCTGATGCAATACTCTAAAGTGACTGTGATACTCACATCAGGGGTTTTAAGGACTTCCTGCTTTTTCACTGCGTCTTATGATGCTCTGGAAAAGACCGTGTGGCAACTCTTATAGTACAAGCTGAAGATACTAAGCTCCAAGAAGTCCCAAATGTCCACTGGGACCCAACAAAGTGTGTGTGTTTGTGTGCTTGAGAGACTGTGGGTGGGGCACTGTAGTAAAGTGGTGCCCCTTGTTTCTCCTCCCACTTCATCACACCATAACCCCCCACTGTCCCAGTGCTTTGTCCTGATCTTTTTTGAGACAGAGAACAAGAGCAATGGCATGTGTGTGTTTGTGTGTGTATATGTGCATGCATGTGTGGTAAAGTGTATTTGTTACAAGTGTTTTTCTATGGGTTTTGCATTTCTGCTCCTCAAGCAAAGCATGAGGCACTACTGGCATCAAACGGTGTGGAAAATGATACCCTAGAGTTTCATTCCTTTTCACTTTAGTCAAAAGGCGTGCCACACTACTTTGCTATTATCCAGCAGCAGATGCCTTGCTGAGTTGTGAGCTACCTTTGAAGACTATCCTCCTAAAAAAAATTTTCCAGCTCTACATGTTGCTTGAGGAGTTCTCAAACTGGTTACACCACTCTCACTCTCAATGCAGCAACCTAATTCTGTACAACGTTTATAGCGTTCCTGTAAACAAGGCTATGGATGCACACTAAGCACTATATGCACTGAAAAAAATTATCCATTTCTAATCCTGTCAATAACACACTGCATATTGTGAATGGATTTCTTCACCTTTCACTACAGAGGAAATTAATTCTAATTTAAATGGAGCTGTGAGCTGAGGTGGGAGGAAGAGAGATACACAAAATGTGAAGAAAGCATTTGGATTATCAAGATGAAATAGTGAGATCATGGTGTGGTTAGAGGTTATTTCAGGGAATTCCAAAGTTTACAAAGATTGTGGCAAGTTATCACTTCAGTATATTCCACACATTCAAAAAATGGCAGATTAAGGATTTCAAGTGAGAAACCAAATTAAAAGACAGTTGACTAAAATATTAACGGTGTCCCAATTCAGGGGACACATCCTTTGAAGGCTGCATTTGAAAACCGACCGTGTCACAGCATCGTGACAAGACCGTCCCATTTCGAAAGCTTCTTCAAACGCGCCCAAGAAATGCCTCTTTCTTTTGCTGGGCAATGAAAGCTCCAACTGATTTTTCCTTTGCGGCCCACGCTATCTCAAGATTATTTGCGTGCTGACAGAGAGCAGAGTATCTGCCGGGGTTGCTAGGCAACAGGAGCAAAGCTTTGTAACGCAAGGGTAAGGGCAGAAATAGCTGGTAACGTAAACAAGTAAGTCCTATGTAGACCAGGCCGTCTCATTTGGGTTTGGGCAACGGTTCGGCCTTCGCAGTTTACAATGGCTGTGAAGGCTGTGACTTCGTAGACCATGTTCTTCAAAGGATGCTGCCCCTGAATTGAGACACAGCTATTATGTGCAACAAGCAACAAAACTTAATCCAAATAAGGGGACATTTTCCTAACTGAGTGAATTGTGATCAAAAGCTTACCTAGTGAACGGTCCTTTGTCTGGTTAGATGATCTCACCACTGGCAGGCTGGCACGAACCCGGCTGCCGCGGGTAAAAGCCGCTGGTGCTTCAGTCTCGGACATAGCATCCAACGACTCCAGGGAGGCCAGGGATAGGTGGTCAACCTGGTCGCCGATGCTGTGCTGGAGGTTGGGGCTGTGCTTTGGGCTTCTGCTCTGGAGGGGGAGGAACATAGGCATAATGCAATAAAGGTGAGACCATGGACACACCTTCCACAAGTTGATACACGCGTGAGTTTTATATTTTAACAATGACATCTTAAAGGTTTCAAATTTTGCACTGTGTCAAACATACTACTGTATTTAAGATATTGTATATTTAGTTAGAAAGCAATACAGTACCTGCCATTTTGACATTGTCAGATGAGTCATGCATTCTTTGGCAAGCTAGAATAACACGCCTTTGACGTTGACAATACGCAAATAAACCAAAAGACTCCAGTCCTGTAAATGTGCAAAGGAGTGACAATACTGTGTGTCAAGGATGCATGCTCACACATCTAACACTGTCCCACGAGCACATTAGAGTACTAAAGGTTATCCAGCATGGGGAAGCTTCTAATTAACTTCCAAAGCTACCTGCATAAGCTGGGATCTAAATGAATGATGATAACAGTAAATGAGATAAGAGGTTTTTTTAGCTCAAAGTTAGCTTGATGGCACACAAACAGAAGTCAACAATGTGCGTCCTACAGGGGAACAATCCTTTAATCACTGATTACACTTGAGGAATTGTGTCATCAGTTCACTACAGATTTGTATGACTTGGTATCCCCATGCCACAGCATCATAAGCAGCATGACCACAGAGCCCACTGAGCTATTATGTGGTGCTGTAACATGATCTGTACTACAGGAACAAGGTGGGACTGAAACCAAAGGGTCAGAGAACACAGGGCTCTTTATGAAATGCTTTTCTTCCCTCATACAAGTGTTGTGCTGTAGAGCTAATGAAGCTAGAGAGCACACCTGCATGCACACTAGCTGCTCTCACACACATACACACACACTGTTAAATAAAGAATTGAAGCTTTTCATTTTACTATAAGCGCAGCTAACATTTGTGGGAGCTTTGATGGCCAGGACTGGTTTAGCCTGGCAGCCAAGTGTGCTTGGCAGGCATAGACAGGGCAGACGCTAAGAGACAAGGGCCCAAGGGTTGGGTCACAAAGCTGTTAGTGAGGATAAAAACATAGCCACACACACACACACACACAATAGCACGATGCAAATAAGATTAAATGTCAACTAACTCTGTGAGGCAATTGGATTTTCATCAAGTACCCCTGAATGTCAAGCTCAAAATGAAGGGAGGAGAGCATGTCCTGTAAAGACTGAGGAGAGAGGGAGAAAACAAAAAGCAAATGGCTAAGCAATACCAGTGGGGAGGTGAGATGGAAAGAGAAAGGGTCATCAAACAAAACAGAGGAACCATGGAAACGCATCAGTGTCAACAAAAGACAGAAGAAAAGAAAGAAGCTAAGAGAAGAATGTACAGTAGATGCAAATGTAAAACAATTTAACAGGATTTACAGGATTTACTTTAAAACTACTTACAACTTTTTATAAGCTTACTCAAATTTAATAAGTGCTGACATGCAAATCATAAAAACCCAATCACTTAATTTCTACAATTACATTAATTAGCATCATTAAAGTAATGAGACGTCTTTCTTATAATAGAGTTAATATTATCATTGTTGTTCTCCTCCCCATGTGTAATTTACTATGTCAAGGTGTGCAAGCATTTATGCAATGCACCTTTGCAGCAACCTGACACAGCAGGCAAACCTGCTGAGTCGTCACTCAACTCTTGTAATTCCATTAAAATAGGCTGCAGCAGCCGGGGTTTAAAAATACATGCATGAATAAACATGTGCGTTTATACCGCTCACACTTGATGATGATAACAGAGAAGACACATGGACTTGACATGTCACCTGAAATCTAATCTGAACAATGAATGATGTATGAGTGTATTCAGTGATGGTGGGTCCGAACAGCTCTCGATCTACTGTGTCACCCTTGGGAATGTTGAGTCATTTTAGCTTACTCCATCACCTGCACATAGCAATTATGTCAGAGTGTAAACCATTATTTCCTCACATATAAAGTGGGGAAGAACCTACATTCAAACTTTGTCATTTAAACAAGTTTAGGACATGAAGAATCCACAGCCTTGCCCGCTGTTAGCTGAGAAGGTGGCTACCATTCTCATACAGACAGAGCCAGGCTGGCCGATTCCCCCTGCTTCAGCTCTTTATGTCATGCTAAGCTAACTATCTCATGGCTCCAGCTTCACGTTTAATGGACAGATAGCTTGTGAGTCATGTTGAGCTACTAAAACTATAGATCATGACAGCAGGAAGGCTGCTGAGGAACAACAAAGCAGGAAAAGCCAAACCTCATGATTTTGTGTTACATAAAACTTTAACAATTTTTTTATCACTTGCTTTTATGTTCTTGTGGTTTTTCTAAATATGTTGATTAATTGATTATCAGTGTGTTTTGTAAGGAGGTGGAAAAGAAACTGGTTCAGTCATACTTCACACAAGGTGAATCTCAGCTGAGTTGATATAACAGACTTTGAGTGTCCTCGGTTCTCAGTTGACTCAAAGGTCATTCTCGTCGACCAAGGACCATAGGAACAATCTGATAAGAGATGGGAGATGTACCCAAGGCTCCTCCAGGCAGCCTCCTCGCTCCTTAGAGCAGACATAAGAGCTTTTGAACATCCTCATGACCGACTGAGTTGAGCAAGGATCGAGGACCAAAGAACAATAAAATAAGGGAACCGGGAATCATCTAAGAATCCAAATGGAGTTGAGGTGACTGCAAACTTGTGATGTTTCAAATACTGAGAGGCATGCACCAGGTGCTAGTTAAGCGCAGGCTACTAAATAGGCCACTATGAAAAAAGCAATGGATGTCTGTCAGACTGGTGTAGAAGAAGAGGGGTTTCTTCCAGTTCTGGCAGTCCTTTATGCTGCAGGTTATATTATAAAACTGGTAAAATGTTTGCTAAAATGTAATTGCAAGGTGATCACAAGAAGAAGATGCTAAATAAACTGTTACTTTCCACCTCTGTCAAAATTCAGGGAAACACTGCAACACACACAATGTGGTTGAAAGGATTATATTTTAATTCCCTTTCTTCCGGTTCTTCTATACCAGGAACTCAGAGAGACAAGACGGTCCAAGTATCTTAAAAATCATGCTGGTTTATTCAAAGGATCACAGGTAAAATTAACATTACACACTCAGGTATCTTGCACCTCCAATACTGCGCGCAGGCAGATGAAGAATGTAAGACCCCGAACCCAACAGGCCTGCACATTATACCTGGTTTGGGCTAACCCCATTCTACACAGGCACGTCAAACCGTGGCGTCACCTGATATGCCAGCTTTACAGCTGATCGTAGCAGTAGTCAAAACATGGAGAAAATCTATGTGCGTGAGTGTTGATTAAGTGGTGTGTATCTAAGAACATACAGGACATTCAGGGACATGTCCGGACATTAAGCCTAGGAAGATATTATGATTAAGATTACGGCTAAACATATCATAATAATACTAATAATCCTCCTGCCTGCTGACAATCAAACTTTTCTATCTAGTTATCCTTACCCATGTACACCCTGCTAAAATCTCATGACAATGACTAAGCGTTTAAACAGTCTAAGTAGACATCCTGTCTCCACTAAACATTTCTAATACAACAAGTACCTAACCAATACCTATCTGACTAAAAAATACCTAACATGGTAACTGGAGAAAAATCCACAGCTGATAACCTGGAAGCAGTCGCATATAAAAGTGGACAGAAATTGCACGAGACCTGTGGAAAGAGGTACTGCCACTGAGTTAAACCACTCTGTCCAGATCTGACAAACGATGTGTCCCCTTCAAAGGTCAACAATATGAACTCCTCTATCTCTTGCCCTCCCTCTTACTCATGCATGCACACAGAAATCATCATTCTGACAGCAGCTACATATGATAATGCCAAAAAGCCTCATACCAAAAGCCACTTCCTCTCCAAGCTAACCACTTGAAAACCACAGGCCGCTGATTAGCATGGTAGAACCTGCTCCACTCCCCTCTCACCTACAGTACATTTCACATTAGTGCATTCCCCTGCTTTAGTGAAAACCATACACACTGTAACTCTGCATTTTCAGCAGTGATTCCAAATTTATTCTGACAGCTATGATGACTGTGAACTGAGCCTCTGATATTAGCTTATGCACAGAAATGTGACAAATCAGAAAGTCATGGAAAGAGCCCATTGGGAATGATCATGTCTAGAAAACAAATCTTGAAAGTGTCAAAGAAATCAAAAAAATATCTCCTACGATGAAGGTGGGTTGTCTACGACATGCTACAGTCAGTGTCAGTGGGTTGGATGACTTGTGCCAAATACAAAGATGCCAGTGTGTGTAAGTGCAGGTTTAAGAGTAACTCAGAGAATTGTGCCTCATCTAAAAGCTCATGTTGTGCAGCTTACAACGCAAATTGCATTGTTTCCGCAAACCGTCTCCTCAAGTCATCAGGCGCTGATTTAATCTTGAATAACAGTTATAGGAGATTCATATTAAATGGATTTCAAGTGTAATGTGGACAATATTGAGCAAACAGAGATGATTAGGCTTACAGAGAAAACAGATATCAAATGAAAGAATTTCTAATGTGTGCTGTGTTTTTAAACAAGCGACAAAGAAGGATACTGAGAGAGACAGAGTGCATGCATGTGTGAGTCAGGCCATTGTTCCAGAAAATCTGACCCGAACCCAGGACATCCTGAAAACATTTATGCAACAATGGCCTGACAAATTATACAAGCACTGTATGATGTCATCAGAAAGAAAAACTCATGTCTGTGTGTCTGCATTCCCAAAATCTAATATACAAATGTTAAAGTTCAGTGCAGTTATATGTGATAATCACAATGTTGTTCTCTCTTAAAATGCCAAAATTTCACTTCTTACTGCACTTCATACACACTGTGAGTACTTTTCATTGCTTACCTGTCACCTGTCTTCAATATTGCAGAACCATTTTCAAATTGGAGGTACGGTACCATGTTGCATGATGTCACAAAGCAGAGCAGATTATAGCATGCGGCCTCTGTTTTAGCTCGTAACAGACAGGCTGAC